GTCTGTGGAGGGATTTTTTGTGTGATTTAGTTTTTGCTTTAGAGGTGACTAAATGCAAAATAGGTTACCGCCAAAGTCGAGCAGTCTTGTTTTCTTGCAGTACCTTTGTTGCCCCAACTACAATTGAAGTATCTGGAATATTCAGACAACTAAAGATCTCTTGCTCTAAAAATTGAATTTGATGAAAACAAAAAAATGCTTCTTCCTAGGCTAGTCTTTGCAGAACGGCAGAGTGAAAGATGACGCCGAACTCTCGCAAATAACCAACAAAACTCGAGAACGGAAACCGTTCAAAGGAATAGAGTTCAAGTTTATTATCCCGAGCGTTCGGAGAAATAGTCACTTCGAATCAAATATTGTTGACTTCATTGAGAATCTACTAGAACCTTACAAAACAAGCAGCAACAATCCTTTTAAAATCATTCAGAGCTGTTTTTAGACCATCATGTATAAATACAAACTACCAAAACTTGGCCCAGGAATCATGCCAATGAAGCAAGAAGTTAGTATCACCTCTATAAAGTTCAACTAGATATCATCGATCAATTACAATAGGAATTAGAAGGTCCTTCTAATCATGATATTTGAGAACATGATGTCTTTGGCCTGTGTAAGAGAGTTTTGGAACAGGGTATGACATAGATACTAGTTGTCAAAAGAACACAAAAAAACCGAAGTGTATACAGACCCGGTAACCGAGAACAAAGTCACAAAGTATACAGACCCGGTGGGGGAACTCATTTGTGATTTCAGAAAGTTTCAGAGCCCAGGCCCAGTAGTGTGTGCGTGTGTGTGTGTGTGTGTGTGTGTGTGTGTGTGTGTGTGTGTGTGTGGGGGGGGGGGGGGGGGGGTTGGGGGGTTGTTGTTGTTTTGTTGGGTTTTTTTTTTGGGGGAGTGGGGTGTCTTTTTGAAAGTCTTTTACAGCGCTCGCAAGTCAGTTTGGCAGGAATGAATTTTGAATTCTGCCCGGTTAGCGCCACAGCCTACTCTTGCCGATAAAGGGACCACGAAGGGGCCTTTTTTTATTTATTTTTTTTGGTAAGTGTTTTACGGTGCCTGCAAATGAACAAAGTCATATGAGTAGGAAGGCGGCAGAACGAGTCAGGAGCCCAGAGAAAGGGGGCAAAGGAGGTGAAGGCGTGGAGGAAGAAAAGTAAGACAAAAGCAAATGACTGAACATTGTTAACGAGCAGGACAGTAGGTGAAATGAGAACATTTCAGAAGAAAAAGGAGACCAGCAAAGGTATTCGTCTTACACAGTGTCCTTATATTGTAAAGATTACGCTGGGAAAAAATGGGAAGTGGTCGTTTGTACAGGTGATTGTCTAACACAGGTAGCCATTAGGGCAGGGTCGAGTGTATCCCGGTCTCTCTGCCAGGACAGTGTATCCTTCTCAGTCTGAGTTGGCCCTGACAGGCAGGGACAACAACAGCAGAGTATCATCATCATCACCATCATCTTCACGCGCGTTGAAGTGCACTTAAAAACAGTCTGTGAGCTGAAAGTCGAAGAGGGGTCGGTCAACTACGGCCAGCAAATAATGGACGACTCAACATAAATCTTTACTTTACTTTTTTTGTAAGTAGAAAAGAAACCCTATAATTACTACAATTAAACACGATAAGGTGGGCTGGTAACGGTATTTGCCAGGAGAGAAAACACAAATTTTATCGACTGCACAATAAATTGAAGAACTCGTGGTTGAAACCAAAGGGGAGGGGTGCGGAGGAGGAAAGAAAGAAGCTCATTCTTGAGAGGTGAAAGTAACAACAGTGGCAAAGCAAAGACATCCTTAGAGTCAAGAGTCCTAACCGATAGTCGACTGACGGATGTGGTCGGTCCTGAAAGAAGCTTAGGCCAAAAGTCTCGGCTCAGACGTCGATTGCTTCTATATTTATCTCCAAAAGTGGCACACCAGAGAGACAGCTGGGCAGGGTGCTCTCTCTCTCTCTCTCTCTCTCTCTCTCT